CTTTTTTTCTTTTTTTTATTTGTTTAAAGATTATATTGGCTATTGTAGGTCTTTGGCCATTTTCGTAAAAATTAAAAAAAAATTTAATGTTTATTTATTATTTTGAGAGAGAGGGAGACACAGAGTGTGAGCAGGGGAGGGGCAGAGAGAGAGGGAGACACAGAATCTGAAACAGGCTCTAGGCTCTGAGCTATTAGCTCAGAGCCTAATGCGGGGCTCTGACTCACAGACCTCGGGATTGTGACCTGAGCTGAAGTCGAACACTTAACCTACTGAGCCACCCAGGCACTCCATTTTCGTAAAAATTTTAAATCAACTTGTCAACGTCTACAGTAAAACCTTGCTGGAATTTTGATTGGTATTGCATGGAAAGTATGGAACATTTGTGGAGAACTGATGTCTTAACAGTATTGAATATTCCATCCCACAAACATAGAATATGTATTTTTACATAAATATTGCTCATTTTTTTCTCAGCAATGTTTTATTTTCAGTATAAATTCCATGTATATGTTTTATTAGGTTTATTCTAGATACTTAGTTTTTTGATGCTATTATAAAGTACGTATATTTTAAATATTGATATCTAATTGTTTTATTGTATTTAGAAATACAATTGAGTTTTGTATATTGGCTTTGAATTCACTGTCCTTGATAAATTCACTTATTAATTTGAAAAAGTTTGAAAAAATAAGTCCCCATGAAATTTTATATACATAATTACCTATGACTCATGTAATTTTGCTTTTTTCTTTCCAATATATATGTAAACTTTTTATTTTTTTCTTACATTATTATACTGGCTGTGACATCCAGTGCAATGCTGAATATAAGTAGTGATAATGTATATCCTTGCTTGATTCTTGATCTTAGAGATCAAGATCATTCTGTGTGCTCTGCTAGCTTTTGGATTGTTATAGATACTCTTTATCAGATTGAAGAAGTTCCTTTTTAATCTTAGTTTGCCAATAGTTTTTATTATAAATGGATATTGAAAATTATCATTAAGGGCTTTTCTGTATCTATTGAGATGAAGGTTTTTCCTCCTTATATTGTTAAATATGATGAAATTTGTGATTGATTTTTGAATATTCCCTTCATGGCATAAAATCTTGGTCGTGTTTTTATCTTTTTATATTCTGCTGGATTCAAGTTGTTGATATTTAATATTTTGACATCTATGTTCATGTATGTGTAAAAATTGGTTTCAATTTTCCTTTCTTGTAATATTATTTTAAGGTTTTAGAATCATGTTATGGCTGGCCTCATAAAATGAATTGAAGATTTTTTTTCACTCCCTTTGATATAGTTTATGCATGATTGGAATGATTTCTTCTGAGAATTTATTAGTTATTCTAAATTAGTGGAGTTTGAAGGAAGTTTTAAAAAATGGGATTCAATTTCTTTAATAGTTATAAGATTATATTTTCTTTTTCTTGTGTGTGTTTTCAAGGAATTTGTCTTTTTCATATGAGTTGTCAAATGTATTTGCCTAAAGACTTTATTAGTTTTCTTTTTGATTTCTAGTTTAATTTCACTGTGGCCAGAGAACATCTTCTGTATGATTCCATTCCCTTGAAACGTTTTGAGACTTGCTCTATGGCCCAGTTTATGGTGTGTTTTGATAAACACTCCACGTGAACTTTATTTTTTTAATAAAGTTTATTTATTTATTTTGAAAGAGAGAAAGAGAAGTGGGTAGGGGCAGAGAGAGAATCCCAAGTAGGCCCTGTGCTATTAGCGCAGAGCCCAATGCAGGGCTTGAACTCACAAACTGTGAGATCATGACCTGAGCCAAAACCAAGTCAGACACTTAACCGACTGAGCTACCCAGGAGCCCCATTCCATGTGAAGTTTAGAAGAGTATGTATTTTGTAGTTGTTAGGTGTGTGTTCTATATGTGTCAACTAGGTCAATTTGGTTATTCACTTCTTCCAATCTTCTATATCCTTTCTGATTCGTGTGGTAGGTAAGAAAGGGTATATCAATTAATTTTAATTTTAATTTCTTTTATTATGATATTTTATTGGGATTTAATGAAATTTCGTATATTAATAGCCATTAGCGGTTCTTTGTGAACTGACTGTTCCATATCTCTTGTGGTTTGCCTTTTAACTTTATTTATAATGTGCTTTATTATATTGGAATTTAAAATTTTTATTTGTCAAGGCTTTACTTGTTCTTTTGTGGCTTTTGTGTTTTGCATTTCTTAAGGTTTCTCTTATAATTATAAGTACAGTTAATCTATATTTTCTTCTAATACACTTATAATTTATTTTTCATTTACTTCTTTAAGAAATAACCAACAAATTGTCCCTATACAATTTGTTGAATAATAATAACAATAACAACTACCATTTATTGGGTGATTGTTGCATACTATGCATTGTTCTCCAGTAGCTTACGTATACTTAGTCACTTAGTTCTCACAATTACCTTTTGACATCAGTACTTTTATCCCCATTTCCCAGATAAGGAAACTGAAATACAAAAGAGGTTTAGTAATTTGTCCAAGGTTGCTGTATCAGTCTGGGTCTAACTAGGAGACAAACCACACAGTAGATAAAATAGAAGTTTAATATAAAGGATGACTAAACAGTGATAGGAGAGTAACTATATAAAGATGGAATGAAAACTCAAAATGTGTTCTAGGGCAGAGGGAGAATACCCAAGTAAGGATAGACTTGAAAGGAGATTCAGACATCAGTAAAGAAGGTATGGTTGCAGCTCACTGTGGGGCAGAGTAGTTGTTGGGTTACCCAGGCCACAGTCACTGTGAGACCAGGAACAATCCTGTGGGGCACATGTGAGCTCAAGCTGGTGGGCAGATACACAGGGGTCAGAAAACTATGGGAACTGAACCTCTGTTGCACAGGATAAAGATTGGGCTTTTGGCTCACGAGGCAGTGTTCCCCATAGGACACTTTGCTGTTTGTGCTTGTGAGGCTGAGAAGGTGTGTGACTTGAGCTGGGCACAGTCCTGTTCTTTCTGGGGCTGTCAGCTATGCTGTTGTAGTTTGAATCAGGAGCTGGGGAGAACATGTGGTGGCCAAATGCTGGAGAAAGCTGCACTCTGCAGGCCCTTAGCACTGGGGAATACCAAGTGGGCCAAATAGTGAAAAAGAACTGACATTCTGCAAGCCTGGCTAAGAAGGCACTGTTCCTTCTGCAGTATGTCTCCAGTGCCCTCTACTGATAAAGTTACCGGTGTGCCAGCTGGCAAAAGGAACACATTTAAAGGGTTCATATCTATTTCCACAGTTCAGGCAATGAAGGGAGAATCTGTAGTTGAGAAGTAATAGATTGATAGCCAGTACAGTTATAAAACAGTCTGACTCCCATCACTCTGTGTTCTTTCTACCTCTCACATAGAGTCTATCTTTTCATACTCATTTGAACTACTGTCTGTGTCATGGATTAAATGTCCAAATGCATGTGTGTCTGTGTCTGAATGGTAGCTTTATTCTATTCAATTGATGTATTTGTCTGTTTGTACCCAAATCACACTCTCTTAATTAAGAATAGATTTTAGTAGGAAATGGTATCTTGTAAGGTAAATATCTCTTCATTTTTTCCCAAAGTGTTCTCTTCCTGATGAGTTTAAGAGTCAGCTTGACATATATCATAGAAATCCTTTTGAAGTTTTGATGGAGAATTTGTTGATTTGAATTTATAACTTGATTTGACAATTATTAAAGTGTTTATGATATTGAATCATATACAGAGATGTAAAAAATTTTTTTTAATGTTTATTTAATTTTGAGAGACAGAGCAAGCATGAGTCAGGGAGGGACAGAGAGAGAGGGGGAAAGAGAATCCCAAGCAGGCTCCATGCTGTCAGCACAGAGCCTGATGCTGGGCTCAAACTTAAGAACCATGAGATCATGATCTGAGCTGAAATCAAGAGCTGGACGCTTAACTGACTGAGCCACCCAGGCACCCGTGCAGAGATATAGTTTAAGAGCTAGCACATGTTTTTGTTGTTTAGCTAAATGATTTTGTTTTGAGGCAATATAGTGACTTTAATTTGAGTTTTTATAGTCTCTTTATATCCCACTACTGATTTTTTTCTTTTTTTGGCATTAATGATATCCTGAGAGGCATCCATTGATTAGTGGTTAAGGGTATGGTCTCTGGCATTAGCTGCTTCTGTTAAAATCTTAACACTGTGATCTTGGGTGGGTAACTTAAACCTCTGTGCAAATATTTCCTCAGTAATCAGGTTTCGTAAGTATACTTATATGATAGAGTTGAGAGATCAATGAAATAACCTGATACATTTAAGGGTTTGGCAGTGAGCCTGGTATATATTAGATACTGAGTTACTATCACTATCTTCGGTCATCATCACATTGTCATATTTGTCATTGTCATTGTCATCATGGCACCGTTTTTCACACTAACACTTGCTGTCCTATCATCCCTTCCATATATACATCCTCTTCTCACTTTTCTTCACATTCTGTTTTCTGTTCTGGAAACAATCTGAACCATATTTTAGGTTACCAACCTGTATATACTTGACCTCTTTTCCCCACTCTTACCCAATTTGTAGAATATTCTCTTTATTCTATCTCTCCTGTAGGTGAGATTTAAAATTTTTGGCCATTAATTCCTCTTCCTATGTTTGTAATCATGTTTATGCTTTAGAGGAAATTCAATTTTTGGTAGTAGATGCCACACTTTCATTACTTTTTTTATTCTATTCTGAAATCTACTAACAAGAAACCTAATTTAAGTATATATTTCAAATTCAGTCTTTGCTGCTGTAGCACATGACAAAACTGAGAATGTATGTTTTATATTCTTTTCTTGCATCTACTAGGTATTCATATGTTTGTTGATTTTATCCTTATTGTTCATGATAATTGAGGGTTTTCATTAGTATGTATATAAGAGTTTTCTAAGATATTTTAAAGTTTTATTGAAACACCACAAAACTGAGTGGGAAACTTGAAGGCATTTTTCTGACTCCATTTTCTGCCAATTTTATTTTATAGGAATCAAGAACCCAGTCTCAGTTGCAAACAGACTCTTGTGTGAAGGGCAGAAGGGCAAGCTCTCCGCTGGCCGAATTCCTCCCTGGTAACAGCTTTGTTCTGCCTGACTTTCCCTGGGTCTTTGGTCTTTGGTGCATGCGGTGTTTGAAGGCTATTTTTATCCACAGAAGGCTGATGCTATTGGTTACACACCAGCAGTAGCTTGCCTTTGAGAGGAAGACACACTTTGTTCTGTAATCTTGGAACATTTTGTACTTGATAGAGCTTCAGATGGAATAGAATATTACAGATTAAAGCAGAAAAGAAATCAGAGTTAATTTTTGGTTTTGTAGTTGATTACAGAGATGTTTTTGCTGTTACTAAGTGCACAGTTGGGTCTTTTATTATGAAACTTTAAAAATTCAGAGTCCAAACTGATTTTAATTTTGAGATGATCTTAGACTAAAAGTACTTAATTTTTCTCTTCTGGAGAAACACACTGTGATGTTAAGATTAGTAAGATTACATCTTTTCCCCAACATTAACATACAGTTTTCATTAAAAAAAACTTTGAACTTGAAGTATTTATAAATGTAGAATGAACACGGTGAAAAGCCCTCATGAACCTGACACCTGGCTCCAATAATTACATTGTTTTTGCCCTTCATCTATTTCACTCATCTTTCTTTTTCCTTTTTGTAGTATTTTAGTTTTTATTTAAAGAATTTTTTAAAGTTTGTTTGTTTGTTTGTTTGTTTATTTATTTATTTTAAGCAGTCTCTACACCCAACATGGGGCTTGAAATCATGACCTCAAGATCAAGAGTCATATCCTCCTCTGACTGAGCCAGCCAGGTGCCCCTGTTCCTATAGTATTTTAAAGCAAATCCTTGACATCATATTTTTTACCCTTAAATAATTTTGTAAACTTCTCTGTTTGCAAAACAATCACTATCCTATTAGTATGCCTAATAATAGTAACAAATATGCTTCAATGCCATTGCATACTCAGTATATCTTCTGCATGCCTGGGTGTGTAGGTTATATTAATGTGTGTGTTGAAAATTGTGATATTACTGTACCACTTTATTTGACTGTTATAATTTGAAATCATAGAAAATAAATTGACATAGTTTTGAAAAATCTTGAAACTTTTTACCCAAATATACTCAAGTAATCCTTTTAATCATATACTTCTCAGGTGTGTTTAATTGTGATGCTAGAAAGGTCAATTATAAAAATTTTCAGAGAAATATAATTTTTAATATTTGTGTCTTCAACAAAACAAGGAGAAGGAGAAGCAGATGTGAAATTTTGAGATTGTTTATAATATGTCTGGTTGATACCAGTAAGTTTACTTTTATAAATCTGAAAGTAGGAAAAATGTTTAGAAAATTCTTAGACTTTTCTCATAATTTGTATAAAAACCGTGCTATTTTTTTAACTGGTATGAAGTCCACTAACCCAAAATTTACTAAGTTTTCTTTAATACATACACAGAGTCCTACTGGATAGGACTTATTTTGAGGGAAGTAGTAGATGTAAAGAGATTATCTCCGGATTCATATTCTCCTCAATGTTGATTTAAAATGTTCTGTTTTCTTTCACCCATATTTGCTACTGTACGTAAACTAGCATAATTAATTCTAAACCGATTAGAAGGCACATGTAGGGAGAAAACAACAATAAAGTTGTTTTAGTTGACAAGAAAAATAGCATAAACCTTGTGACAAGTATTTTACAGTTCATCTGCAAATCATCATAATCCCATTCCCCACACTACTCCTGGCATTTATCAAGTTGTTTCTTAAGTTTATATGGAGGAACAAGTGTACAACCATAGATAGCCAAGACATTTTGAAACAGACCAAAGAGTTGGACTTATCTAAAAGCTATCCTGATACCTCATAGTATTATCATAATTAAAACAGGAAACAGATTGACAGAGGTATAGGGATATATATAGAAAAAATCAGTAGGACTGAACTGGGAGTCCAGAAGCAGACCAAGTATGGAATTAAATTTAGTCTCTCCTAAATGTCATCTCAAAGTATTGTGGGGGAAAAAAGGATGGCATATTAAATAAATTGTGTTGGGACAATTGGCTACCTAGTGGATAAAAGTTAATTTAAATTCCTCTGTCATACCATTCAAAAAAAATAAAATTCAAACATGAGGTTAAAAAAGCTTAGTATAAAATTTTTTTAAGAAAAAAATGAGAGATTATGTTTATGACTACAGGGTAGCAAAGACCTTATTAAGATTAAAAATTAAGGCTAAAATATGGAAACATGACAAGTGAAAATGTCTAGTGTTATACAACTGAAGGTACTATGATCTGAATTAAAAGACATTATGGCCTTTGGAACTGAGGACAATTATTTGCAGTGTAAGTAGCAAAAACAAAAAAAATAGTAACCATGTTTAAGAACTATGAAATATTAAGACAAAGATAGCCTCAACTTTAAAAATTGGTAAGCAGTACAAATAGGCAGCTTATAGAAAATAAAATATTAATGGTATAAAAGTGCCCAACGATAATCAGGGAATTGTGAATTAAAATAAGAGGTATTTTCATGTTATTTAAAGTAGCAAAATTAATAAAGACGAATGTTATCCAGTGTTGTTGAGGTTATGGAAAAACAGGTTCTTTGTTCTACTAGTGGTAGGAACATAGATTGATATGGCCAGCTGAGAGACATTTTGTTATTATTTATTAATGTAAAAAATTGAAAATGCACATGCTATGTGCTCCAGCAATTCTGTCCTGGGACAGAACACCTTCACATGTACACAGGAGGGCTTCTATAGCACAAGAAGCATACAGCAACACTGCTTCTGGTGTATAAAATGTAAACAATCTAAATGTCCATCAATGGCTAAATAGACTGTTTTCTAGTCATATTTTGAATAATCTGCAGTATGGAAAGGGAGAAACATTTATATATAGTAAAAATGGATAGATCTGTATATTGTAAACAAATCAAATTGCTGTATGATATATTCAGTTTAACTTATGTTTTCTTAAAAAAATACAAAATAATGTGATGTTTATAAATAAGAATACCTGTTTCCTACCATCCAGTTTGGGAAATAAAATATTACAGAGTGATTTGAAGCTTCCTAGATGGATCCCTTTCTAATAACATCCTTATCCTTCCCATTGTCCCACACCCTTACCCTGATTTTGCTTCTGCTCCTGCTCCTATGTAACAGTTGTCTTGAATTTAAGCTTCTCTTATTCCCATGTATTCCTTCATAATATTGCAACATAAATGGTGCTCTAATTTTTTAAGGCTACATATATATATGTACATAGATGTACAAAGAAGGTCTGCAAAGGAGGTTACCAAAGTTACTGTGATTACCTCTGGGAAAAGAGGAAGGGAGGGAACAAGATGAAGCAATTGTCAAAGGGTACATGTGCAATATTTTTATATTTTACAAAGATAAAATACGTGGGAAAAAGTGATGGCCTTTATGGTATAGTGATGCTATACTTGTCTGGAACTAGTTGTCTTATTTTATCATGTATATAGTTCTTCAGCTTTGTTCTTTGTTTTCAGAATTGTTTTGACCATTTCAGGCATTTTGCATTTCCATATGAATTTTAGAATTAAGCTGCCAGTTTCTATAAATACCCTGCTCGAATTTTGATTAGGATTGCAACATATTCATTTATTAAAGTCTTCCTTAGCCTCTCTGAACAGTTTTATAGTTTTCACTGTACAGGTCTTGCAAAGCTTTTATGGAATTTATACTTCAGTATTTCATCCTTTTTTGATACCATGATAAATTATATAAATAATAAATGTTACTTTCCAATTATTCCTTGCCAATATAGAAATATGATTGATTTTATTACATTGATATTCTTTCCAGAGAATTTGATAAATTCATTTGTTCTGTAGTACTATTTTTATAGATTTGATAAGATTTTCTATATAGATAGTAATGTCTTCTGAGAATAAAGATTGTTTTACTTCTTCCCTGTTTTTCTAATCTGGGTTACTTTAATTTCCTTTTCTTTATTATAGTGGCTGGGACCTCCAATGCAATGTGGAATAGAAATGTGAGAGTGGGGGAAACAAAAGAAATGTGAGAGTGGGCATCTGTGCCTTGTTTGTGATCTTAGGGTAGAAGTGTTTGGTCTTTTACCCTTAAGTATGATGGTTACTGTAGGTTTGTCATAGATGTTCTTTATTATGCTGAGAAAGTTCCCTTCTTGGTGTTCTAAGAGTTTTTAATAGGAATGGGTGTTGTACTTCTTCAAATGCTTTTCTGCATCTATTAAGATGGTCTTACAGTTTTTCTTACTTGGTCAGTTAGTGATTGGTTGATTTTCAACTGTTAACAATGCATTCCTGGGATAAATTCCACTTGGTCATACTGTGTTATCCTTTTGATACATTGTTGGACCCAATTTGCTAAGATTTTGTAAAGAATTTTTACAATATATGAGATACATTGGTCCATTGTTTTTTTCTCTTGTCTTTGGATTGGGTTTATTTTGTTTCTTGGATATATAGGGATACATACTTTATCAAATTTGGAAAATTTTTGGCTATTATTTCCTCAGATATTTTTTCTGACTCCTCTTTCATCCTTCAGGACTCCAATTGCATGTGTATTTGAGCTCTTGTGGCCCTGCAGGTCACTGATAATTTATTTACTTTTTCCATTCATTTTTCTCGTTGTTTCATGTTGAATAACTTCCATTGCTGTTTTCAAGTTCACTAGTTATCTTTCTATAATATCTAATCGCTTGTTAATCCCATCTACTTTGTTTTTCATCTCTGACTTTTTAACATCTCCAGAAGTTTGATTTGCAGCTTTAGAAAATGTCTTCCATGTATCTACTTAACATGTTTAATCTTTCCTGTAGCTTCTTGAACATATGAATAGTTATAGTAACTTATAATATCTTTGTTTACTAATTTGCTATCATCTGTCATTTCTGAGTTGTTTTCAGTTGAATGATTTCTTTCATTATAGGTTGCATTTCCTTGCTTATTTGCATGCTTGGTAATTTTTTATTGCATTTGAGGCATTGTGAATTTTACTTTATTTGGTGCTGGATATTTTTATATTTTAATAAATATTCTTG